AAGAACAACTATTTTAATGAAACATATACTGTACAACGATAACTGAATAAAGATGAAAGGAGCTCGATTGTCGATACCCACTGATATGATATTTCCACCTGTAAGATTTTGACATCTTGCAGACATTATGTGCAACAATGAGTAATGTACTCGTGAAATGGAAACACAAGAGAATTATAAAAGACCAACCTCGATTTTAAAGTTTAGTTTCGACCAGGGATGCCAAAAAACTGACAGAGACTGATAGTTGATGGCTTCTACATGTGGCGAAGTCAAACCATCAAGTTTCATTCGAAATCGTGGCCTCAAACGTTCGAATGACTTTCGGAAATTCCGCCGGTAATCGTATTGATCTTCAAAAAGTGCTTGCATTGAAATTTCTAAGGATAGGAGAAGGATAATGAGGCTTCCACACCTCTTCCCCTACCATTAAATCACTCAAGAAAGAGGAGTATCAGCTCGCCGGTATTTTAACTGTCCCGATGCTGCACAGACGTGCGACATTTAACAAGTATGCATGCCTTCTCCAGGATTCGATCCCAGGCCCAGCCTAGGTTAGCCTCTCTAACTACTCTGCCTTAAGGGAAGTTTAATAATTAGGGAGGAAATATGTGACAGGTACAGGCAGGAGAAGGCTGGACGCTAGACGTTCATAGTTAGTGCTACAGGTACAGTCCAACGGTCTTCCAGGTAAACATGTTAAATGTTGATGCTCTAATTTTGATGCAGAACGCTTTGAGAGTCAACCACTCTCTACCCGTTCCAGCAAACCACTCGAGAGGACTTCCGGATCTCTATGTGCCCCCATAATACTCAAATACAAACATCCTTGTCTTCTCTGGCATTCTGCCCCGACGCCCAATCGATACAACAGCCAGCGTCGCTAACCTCTATACAGATCAGGGTGGTTGTATGAACTACAGGAATTTGGTTGATGAAATGAACATATATATTTTGAAATGGAATATTTGCAAATGATGTAAATAAAACAGCTTGGAGCTACATTCGCGTAATGTAAATGCGAGAAGGTTAATGCATGCTATGCGAAGAATTCTATGTGGTAAATCTCGAAGATGTTACAAAACCCTGACACACAAGACCATGCGAAGCACTTAAGGGGGCTCATACCCCTCATGATCTTCGAATATGTGACTGTTGCAAGAATTGGGATATTTTATTTATTTTAAAAGCAATTACTTCCAACCTCTTACAGCTGACTACATAATATAGCTGCTTTGGAAACTAGTAACCAGAAAGTTTGTGTTGCCACAAATATTTTTGTAAATTAATCCTCTTTGTGACAAAATATTTCGCCATGTTTCCACATTGAGCGCATGATATTTTAAAAATGGCTAATGATACATACATGAAATTTGTTGGAATTCTTTATATGGGCACTATTTTCTAACTGAACCAAAAATCTGATGAATATTTTAATATTAAAAAAAGTTATGGACGAAAACATTACAGATTTTTTAAATAAAATACATTTTATAAACTCAACTCCAAATAAAATAAAAATTTAACATAAAATTCTTACAATTTTAGGTTCACAGTAGTTTCCAAATGTTATGAAAGCTATATATTAAATATGGAATTAACTTATGCAACAGAATATTTTAAACTGTGCGCGCAAGGTGGAAACATGACGAAAACTTTTGTCACAAAGCGGATTAAATTATCAAAATGTTTGTGGCAACACAAACTTTCTGATTACTATTTCAGAAAGCAGCTATATTATGTAGTCAGCTGTAAAAAGTTGGAAGTAGTTGCTTTAAAAATAAATAAGTTATCTCAATTCTTGCAAAAGTCACATATTCGATGATCTTATGGGTTTTAAGGTGTATGAGTCCCCTTAATGGATTCCATAGATATTGCGAAAGATAACGCTGGTTGTCAACGCAGAGCAAATAAAGAACATCACTTGACAGCGTCTTTGGCGAGAACGAACAATGATTTAACGGGAAAAACTGTTCTATAAAATGTCTTCCTTTCCAATTATTTTGTATAACTTGAGTTTTAATATAATACAATCCCAAGACCATGATTAAAACTAACTAAGGCAGGTGTAAAAGTTAATATCACGAGAATATTTCTGTTGTAGACGAAAGATCAATGTAATGAAAAAGTAAAGTTTTTATTAAATCACCAAACATTAAGGTAATTTAATGCCTAAATGGTTTTTGAAAATTATTTGGCACTGAGATTTATTTGGCACTTCTAAATGTGTTACAATGTTTGGTATTTAAGTAACGCCTTTCTAGAGATAAAAGTAATATAATATTAAAGAATTTTTTATTAAGTCTTTCAGAGCTGGAGTAAATTTTCAGAGTGGGAAAATGTCTCCTATCTCTGAAATTATTTCTTTCGAAATGTATCTGACTGAGTATTTAAATTGTCTAGATCAAATTACACGCTTCAACTTAATTAGCCATGGGAGGACATCGGTGGGAGCATCAGTCGAATTTTAGTTACACAATTACGTGACAGAAGCGGTATTAAATAGAGGTAAAACTATGTAAAGTTTCTAGTCCTTTGTTCGGAATATCTCATTAAATTAAGGATCTATGTAAAATTAATTATATATTAAGGCAGAGATGAGAATAAATTTTTAGAAATATAATTAAATTATTTGTAGCTAATTTTGTTACTAAGAACATGCTTTCACCTAATATTCCTAAATTAGCTTTGAATTAATTAAAGTGAAAAGCAGATTTGAATTAAGTTATTGTTCTTGATTTTTACTGATTTGGCTCAGGGACATATTGCTTTTCACACCTCTTGGTAAATTCTCTATTAATTCTTTAATAAAAATATAATCTTAATGGCATTCACTTACAGGAAAATTACATTTCTAGTAAACGAACTGTTTAACCAATTCATATTTTTAATAGAACTGTAGAAATGATTAGACTGTCGGAGATGGAATATGGAAAATTAATTGTTCCAGTGGCAAAAGTTGTAGCGCTGAACTTCCAGTTAACTAACTGGAAATGATAATTGCTCTTCCATAAAATCGCACACAGATGTAAAGCCATAATAGTACCTTATAACTCGTAGTTCAGCGGATAGAACGGCTTAAGAATGATAATCGAAGAGGTTTCAAATGTCGGAGAACAGACTGGTCGCATGGGCGTTTTGCCTGTTTGTAACAGGAATATGAGTCATTTTCCCTTGCAAAGTTCTCCACAAAGCCATCCTTCCTATTTGGCAGATAATCGTGTGATTTGATATAGTTTAAGAAATACAGTCTAATCCTTAAAACAACAGCAAAGTTGAATTTTTACCTAATTTTGCTTTTGATTTTGACGTATGTCTCTTATCTTCTCCGTATTTACAATATTTTAACACTTTTAGTCTGGGGCTCGCATTCATTCTCCATTTTACTTTACTTTAGGACATTCGAATAAATAAGGACATAAGGTATTTTCTCCTTCCTTTCCACATACCTCCGTGGTATAATTCGAAGCATACTTGACGCGAGGTCCAGGGTTCGAGTCCCGGCGAGACAGTGCACATTTTTCATGTCACCTGCTTCCAAATAACTAATGTCTCTACAGTGGCGGCCGAACTAAAAGATGGTGGACAAGAATTCGTCACTACCAGGATTTGGCAATAGGTTCTCCTTCCCCAGTCGTCTTTTAAGGTATTTTTTCCCTCCTTCCAGCATGTCTTCGGGGTGTAACGGTAGCACACTCGCGCGTATTTGAGAAGTACAATTCAAGTACCTGAGAGGACATTGCGCATTTTTCACACATCGTGCTTCAAAATAACCTAATGACTCTACATGGGAAAAGAAGTTAAGAAGATATAAACATACGCTGCTGATTACTGTTAATTTAATAATTGATTAGACAAGATATTTTAGTATTCCATTCGCCTGTTTGGCCTAAACTTGATTTTTACCTCCAGCTGAACTAAATAGAGACGATATCTTATGTGGGTAAGCGATCCACGTTTAGATTAATTTCATTAGAAAGAATTCCAGTAGTAAACTGTTTTACAGCATTAGACTAGTTTCCATAGACTACGACTAAACTTGTGGTAGTCTGCTTACAGTTAGGGTAAACAGCAGCCTAGAATTTCTGTCAACGGTTACTTTGCTATAATTCATATAAAGTTTGATTTTTGTAGTATACAAGTAAGCAACTGTTTAGCTTATACTTCCTTATTTTTCAAGTCGAAACAATAGCTAATCAATTAATATTTGCTAAATTAATGATTCACATGAATACAGAAAATCATTTACCGGAGAGAGAGCATCTCACTTCAACTACAATCCTACAAAGGGGACTTGCCCAAGCATTCACATACTTCCAGCGCCCTAGGGCACCGGTCGCCAACCGGTGAACCATGAAAACCTTTTGCTGGTCCGCAGAAAAATTGGGACATTATTTATATTTTTATGAAGGTTCAGTTTAAAAATGACGAGAACAAAACCTATTATGGAATGTGGATTATACTTCTTTTAAAATTTTAGCTACTACTTTTAGCGAAATACCCTCTGAATTTAGCGACTTTTTAGCTACTTTTGCAAGTGTATCTAGCGACATTTGAAAATGAGAGTTGGCATTCATGGATATGCTGCTGTTATCAATTATAGCGCGAACTGGAATTTTCTTTCCTTTTTGAATTACAAACATATGATAACACCGTTTTTTTCGTGTCTTGATGGATTTTTATGAGAACCATCTGCATTCTTGTTTATAATTGCATCACTGGAAGTTTCCGTTTTTGTTTTGTCTAACTGTTAATCGATGGCGCCATTGCTGAGTAAGCGATGATTACTATGTTTACAATAATTAACAATTGGTAGAATAACACTGTCAGTTTATTGATATTGCTTTTCGTTTGCCGCTTTGTTCTTGTTTTCAGTGGTATGGAAATGTGAAGCTTTCGGTACAAGAAGGTAAGATTTTTGTATTTTTCATGTAATTTTCAATGTGAACGAAATATGTGTATTTCGCTGATTATTATTGTATAAATGTATTTACCTTTCTTTTTAAATTCATATTAGTGGTCCACCAAATATAAAATTATATATGTAGTGGTCCGTGAAGTTCTAAGGGTTGACGACCGCTGGTCTAGAATTCAGTCCTGCATATCCCTAAACAATTAAAAAATATTTATTTTTTATTTAATTAATTTAAATTTATACTGAATCAATGTCAATAAATTAAAAAAATATACATAACAATAAATAATCAATAAATCACAATAACAATAAATATTGTCACAATAACAATAAATAATGTCATTGTCAATAACAATAAATAATGTCATTGTAACAATAAATAATGTCATAACAATAAATACTGTAATTGTCACAATAACAATAAATTGCCAATAATGTCATTAATATTTGCCAATAAATTTGAGACCCTCACGAAAAGTCAGTTTCCAATGATTGAGTTAAATGAATTATTAAGTAAAATTGCAAAAGTAATTTAATAAATGCCTTCATTTGTGTGTATTAATGATTTCGGGTAACTAATTAACAATCCTTAGTCTATCATGATACTGCATTTAATGTTCTTTAATGAACTGCATTTATTTTATCTTTAACTCTTTGCTTTATTATATAATGTTTCAGGCAGAAAACCACTGACTGTATTCACAGCAATTAAAATTCACTCATTAAATAATTGAATTGCAAAACTCTGTTTAAAGTTTTGCTTTTAGTTACCTCAATGCGCATTAGAACAGTTAACGGTTAAACTCAGTCTTTCAATGCCAGTAAATCAGACAATTTTTCTCATCAAAAGATTCAGCTGAGCCCATTGCGTAAAATTAATCGCTTTCCTGTTTGCTCAAAAGAATAAATTAAAGCAATTAGAGAAGAATTAAGTTTGTTCTTTGCGTTGGAAGAAATTTTTTAATTACATAGAGAAGTAAATTTAGTTGCTTCCAGTATTCGGCTTGTTAAGCTTTAAGCCGACGGAGTTAAATAAAGCTTTGTTTGATTTTTCTCCAAAATGTTTACAAAAAACGTCAGTGAAAACCGCTTTTGAACCATATTCAACCAAACTGCATTATTTAAAACCGCATAACTACTGTATTTCCTGGTGAACTTTTTTGTAGTCTAAGGACGTAGAAAACTGTTAGAGCAACGATTTCTGAAACTCTAAGGAATGATTCCTTATTTATTGAAGCATTCCCCCTAATGTTCTCAAATGGCATAAGTGGTTAGCCCTTTCAGTTAGGAAATGAAATATTTGGATTCTAAATACGAGTTTCAGTATAGCCTATTTTCACGTTTCCTGTGCTACGAAATGTAACAATGTTTACAGGAACGAACATGATCCAGATTACCTTAGAACTTCCTCCACGAAGACACGCATTCCCTTAGATATAGAGCTCTCGTATGCTTTGCCATATTCAAAGTAACTTTACAAAGTATTTCTTTGCCATGTACATTCATGGTGTACCCGGAAATGGTATAGAACGTTTTCACGTGTTTGCTCCAAAATAAAATGCTTAATGTTTCTTTACAGAATCGTCTGAACTAAATGGTAGTGGACAATAATTTGCTACCACCAAAGTTTGGGAAATATGTCCCGTCTTCCCCAGTCGCCCTTAATGTGGGGGAGAAAATAAGGTAATTACTTCCTCTTTACCGCGTGCCGTCATGGTATACTAAAATCCTAATCGTCTCTTACAACCTAACCTAGCCTCCACAATAGCATCGTAATTGAAATACAATAGATGATAATTCGTTACTATATACGTTTTGTTTGCTGGATATTATGCATTTATCTACTCACTCTCTAACTGGGGGCTTGACAAATTCCTTGCAATTAGACAAAATCCTTGCTGCGGAAAACCTAATACTCTCTATACTGATTCCCGAACTAAAAATATGGTTGACAATAGTTTGTTAACATCTAAATTTGTCTGGCTTGTGGATGGCGTGCTTCTCCTCCAGTCATCTTTTAAGTATGTGTGGGAAGGGGAATGTAAAGAATTAGCGCATACTTTTGTGCGTACTGGTAGTATGAGATATAGCACGTTCATCTAGCAATTAGAAGACAGGGGGTTCAAATCCACAACTGATTTTTCACGTATTGCTTCAATTAGATAATAATTTTAGCAAATTGAGATGCTTTCCCATCAAGAGGTAAAGGAAAGACTTAAATGTAATATCCACTGTCGCGATTTCGTAATACGAAAACAGTAAATAAAAATAAATATCTGAAAGAATATTTTCAGATTTTAACAGTCGCCCAAAAGGGCTACTGGTACTGGTACTATGTACTACTGGTACGGGTACTATCTACTGCTGGTACGGGTACTACTAATACTGGAGTTAAGCCTACTGGTACTATCTATTGATGAAACGAGAACTAAAACATACTTTCCTTAAAGGCTGAAGGCAAAGATGGATTGGAATTATGGTCGTTAACTAGAACAGAAAGATCTTTTTGAACATGAAGCGCTTCTATAAAATCTAATTCACTAATGGAAGATGTTTTTTGAATAATTTTGGCTGCAGAAAAATTGAAAGTGTGATTTTGGGACCAACAATGCTCTGCAATAGAGGACTTCTGTGTTTCTTTTTTCTGACATGTGCCTCATGTTCCTTAACGTCCGAGAACTTGATCAAGAACTAAATTATTTAAAAGCAATAGCTATTGAGAGAGGCTTTTCACCCAACATTATTAATCAAGCAGTTAATTAAGTTTTTTAGTTTGTTAATTAAAATTGAAAGATAATTATTTATTAATCAAGCATTATTAATCAAGCAGTTAATTAAGTTTTTTAATTTGTTAATTAAAATTGCAAGATAATTATTTACACTTTTCCGAATGACAACAATGTCACGTGCAGGAGTTAAAAATAATTTGTTTCGAACAATGTTGCCACTATTCACTTTCAAATCATTTGGTTTGTTAATCAAAAATTCATTAAAATTTTACAAAATATGAAATAAATAATAAAACAAATTTTAAATTCCAAATTGAGTTTCCAGGTGCACATATTCGGGTAGAGGACTATGATTTTCAAAATTTGTTGGCTCTATGTACCGTCTGCGCCCACCAGCGGACGAGAGGTAACGTCGCTGAACACTGGTAGTTCAGTCCGAGGTTCGAATCCCGCGAACTGGCTGGCTGCATGGGCGTTTCCGTGGTTTTCCCCATGTGTAACGTGTATACGGGCCAGTTTCCCTTAAAACGTCCTCCACGAAGGCATCCCACTCTTAAGACAGATAGCCCTCTAGTGCTTTGCCGTAATCTAATACACATACACACACTATGTACTGTCTTTTTTTCACAATGGAGAGACATACATACATACACGCAGATTCTTTATTATTATTTAATTAAAAAATCTGATGTGTACACCACATGACTTCCTTGTACGGAATATTAAATTATACGCATTTTTTCTTGCATTTTATTTAAACTTATTAGATTGAATTAAACCTACTTCGCCGACAGCGCATAAACCACAATAGAATAAATGCATTCTTTAAAATTTACTTTGTTTACCATAGCGACACTCTGGCGCTAGGTTTACTTAACAGTATTATATTTCGTTCATATTATAACTCAGAATGCACAAAATTTATTTATTTAAAGAATTTAAAGAATTATCTAATCGTTGCCACATGTTCTATTCAAATACTATAATAAAGCTAGAACTATGTATAAAAGAAATTAAGCAAACAAAACAAAAAAGAAACAGTTTCTCACAGACGATTGAGTATTTCTCATTCAATTAATTCAGTTCTCCCTTCGCGACAAGGCAAAAATACATAAAAACTCAAAATATCTGTATTAAAAATTACGAAGTAAATTTCAAAAGCTTATTTCCTCAAAAAAATTCCAGAAAGAATTAAGCATGATTTAATTGGGAATAATAAATGAATGAGTTATCTTTGTTGTTTCGAAGCAAAGTTTCTCTAGATTGGCAACAAATGCACTAGTCTCCTGTTTCAAATGTAAACATCAATGAGCGCCATTAAAAACAGGCTTAGCGGCAATTAAACAACTTTAAAGTTGCTGATAATTCTAAAAATATTGCACACAGATTTACTAAAGGCATAAAATCCTTAACCGGAAGGTAAAAACAACATAATTCAATCATTTTTAAAGCAAAAAATGTACAATTTACAAACATATAAGAGTAAAGAAACTGAGATCACTGACCCGGGTAACGGATTGGATATATATATATATATATATTTGTATACGTTTGTTGCTGCCGATTGCAACCAAAATACGAGGTGCACATCTACATGTTATAGCAGTCCTATATACAAAATTTCAACGTTCTGAGGCTACTCGTTTTTGAGTTATGCGAGATAGGTACGTACGCACGTACGTACATACGTTCGTACAGACGCCACGAAAAATTCTCTTCAGAATTAATTTTAAAGCAGTTTTATAATTTTTTTGAAGGAAAAGAGTGTTTTATTCTGTCCTTACGTACAGATATCACGCAAAAACATCGTTAAATTGCATTCGATAGCGGTCAAAATGGATATTTTCGTTGAAATATGCTGCCTGAAACTTTTCGCGATTACACTACTTCCTTTTTCTATCGTACAAGGAAGTAAAAATGGAGACAGCGAAACGTAGTAACGGTTAGTTTATAAGATAACGGTTTTCCATCCGTACTTGATAGAGGTTATCTAAAATATATTTGCTGCTTATTAAATAATATGATTCACATATATATTTTAAATTATTATTATTCTGTGAAATATTAATGTGGTTGTAAGTACGTTAAAAGATAACCTGAAGCGCCGGAAAATACTAAAATGCAAGCTATATCTAATAAACGCTTTTAACAAGCCCTCAAACAAGAAAATATTCTTCTCCTTAATACTTCTCCATTCTTACAGGCAATAAGAACCATCAAAAAACACCATTAGACTAAGAGGTGAAAAGAACAAAACGCAGAATAAACCTAAGAAGAACGCGAAGGTAAAGTAATCGAGATTGATCGCTTTTAAGAATAAGGTCACGGTAAAGCTTTCTGTGCGCATGCGCTCAATGTCCTTGCGTTTTTGTTAAACATTAACATCTTTACGATCGTTTCGCTGCAAAAGATAACACAACTGGGAAAGAGTGGTTTCGTGGGAGGACTCTATGTAATGGAGAAAGCAGAAAAATGGCTCATCGCTCATAACTACTCCACCCTATCAGTTACGATCTGTTAACGACTCTTGACATAAAAACTTAGAAAGGCAGAATATTTTTAAAAGTTGTGTTTATTATATTTTTGAGAATAGTCATCCAATTTCATTCATAATTTTTTATGTCTTAAAATTAATATAATAAGTTCAGGAACTGAAAAATGTGTCAGATGATTTTTCGGTATAGAGTATAAAGCGCACAAAAACTGTCTTAATTATTTTCTGCTTGCGCATATTGCTGCACTGTAATTAAAATTACTTACGTGGATTGTTTTGTTTTGTTTACAAACCCGCAAAAGCAGGAATGCAATCTACAAACTCAGTATTTTCACTTTTTGTTATCTGCGGTTAACCACGGCTTAAAAACTTTAACTAAAGAAATTAGTGGTTCATAACAATGATTTTGCAAAGTGTGGTTAGGGATGGAAGACAGTTTTTAATAAATCGTGAAACGTTTTGAAATAACCTTTATTTGTTTATTGTGTGATTATATATATATATATATATATATGTAATAATAAAATTCCATAGTCAAAATTACACTTAAAATTCTAAATGTATGTTCTTTTCACTTTTAATGGCGACGGTCTCTTATTTGAAAGTACGTGGAATTAAATTCACAGCCCCGTAGTTAAGTTGTTTTTCCCGCCTTTTCTACACGTACGATTATAGAATGTTCTCGAGATATTTAAAGCGAACTGGATTGGCTGATGAGGCTGACGTCATTTCTTGGAAGCTCCGCCTTTCCAGAGGCTATAAAAAGACTCGCAAAAGGAATATCGGGGCTTTTTTCTTAAATGTCACGAGTAACTTCATACAGCAGTAAACTTCATACAAAAAGTTATTAGTAAAATTTTTTATTTACTCCGGATATCTGATTTTTGTAACTGCTATTTCTCCTAAATTATAATAAATGGATCCTTGTTTTTTAAACTTATCGTCTGATTATTTAAGCTACGACTACATCTATGATTCTTCACCAATCTATTTATTCCGGACAAAAGCTGGTACATCACATATATATATATATTTATTTATTTAAATGAATAAATGTAAAGTAAAAAACAGTTTAAAACCTAAACCAATTGCTGGCTACTAGCAGCAACAGGTGGTGGTAATAATGTAAAATAAAACAAAAAATACGTTTAAAATTCTTCCCATGTTCATCTCGGAATAAACCACACGCAGAAACCAAAACACAGAAAGACAGTGACAAACTGCAAGGGAGGGGGAATATGCCAAAACCAGAAATGAAAATAAAATTTACATCTTCCGCTGTACCGTCATCAGGAGGTTGGTGCGAAGGAAGAAGCAAATAATTAAAACAACCGATTTCTAAACAAACAATACACAAATCACAAATTAAAGTTTAAAATTTATAATTTAAAAACAAATAATCTTAGAAAAACAATCAAAGTAATCAATGTTTTTATCAATCCAACCCCTACAGGACAAAGTTAGCAGAACACCAAATTGTATTAGTTTGATTAATTTTATTCAATAATTTTATTAATTTCATTGCTCCACTTTCGAAATGTTTTTGCTTGAATTTTGAGATATGTTCTTCCGGTTGGAATTTGCCACCCTTTCATAATCAAATTTTGATTTAATTATTCCTCCTGATTACTTAATTAACTATTCAACATAGTGTACTACTTTAATAATATGTCTCATCATATTTTGAAACTTCTCACTCTTGTTTATATATATATATACAGAGTGCCCACTAAAGCCTGGTACTTTCCGTTTAACTACGGCTATAGTTATAAAAGTGGTATCTAGGTATAGTAAAGTGGTCATGAGCTACTAGAGGAGATAGCTTACAGCGCCACCTGGTGGAAAACTGCGGAGTTACCGTCCCTATTTCGAAAACGGTATGAGATAGGAAAAAAAGTGAATTTCAAAGTTGTGGAGCATCGTTGATTTCGTACGTAAAGACATCTCATGGACATGAATGTTAAGGAGAGAACATTTTAAACGTGCATTTGTTTGTTCACAATTTCCTACACTGTGAGCACACCTGCTGTTTGAGGCATACCCACAGGAAAATGTCCATTGGAGTCAGGTCAGGTGATCCTGGAGGCCACTTTTCGAAACCACCATACCCGATTATTCGCTCTTCGAATTCTTCCATTAGGTACTGCTTCACTTAGGCACGCTGTCATGTTGGAACTATCCATTCTGGAGTTGAAGCAATGGCAGGTTCTAAAAAAAACTGGGTATTACGTCTTGCAGAAGTTCTAAATATCGTGCTGTCGTTAACGTATCCTGGTAAAATATTGAGCAGATACGAAGCTGAACTATGCGAAATGTCTATGGCATCCCCGTCCAGGAATGCTTGATTAGGTATTAGCCGGTTTGGCGTACTTAATTCCTCTAGGATTTTCCAAACGTGACTTTTTGAGAAGCTACAGTTTTCACTTATGTCTTTTGTGCTGCTGTTTGGATATGTGAGGGATTGATCTGCATATTGTCTACTCTGTTTGTAAAGACAATAAGTACAAGGATGCACGCCCCGAGTTTAAATCATAGTCCTCTCGATTGCGAATTACAAACGACACCACTTGTGCAGCGATGCAGGCTCGTTTTTCGTCCGAAAGATAAATCTTTTCTCTTTTCGTTCAAATTTCGGAAACACACAAGTTTCGGGAATCGCGAAGAAACATATGGGCGTTTTTAGCGTTCTGTTTTTAGCATTCATATCCACAAGGTGTCTTTTCGTGCTAAATCGCCAAAGCTCTACAACTTTGTAAATCACGTTTTCCCCTATCTTGTACCGTTTTCCAGATGGGGACGTTAACTTTGCAGTTTTCCACAAGGTGGCATTGTACGCTATCTCATCTAGTAGCGCATAGTCGCTTTACTATAGCTAAACACCACTTTTATGACTACTGCTGCAGCCGTTCGGCAGTTAAACGAATGGTACCGGACTTTAGTGGACACCATGTATATATATCTGCAGTTACTTAATTTATATAGGATTACTAATTAATTGTCCATAATTATGTTTATTAATGTTTGAAACAATGAAATAATAATACAGAAACATTGATAAACGTAATTATCGACAATTAATTAGTCATCTTGTGTATATTAGAAATCACTTCACGTTTCTTTTCATAGGACTTACCACGTTTCTTTTCATAGAAATTTCCTTATTTTTCTCCTTTATTGGCTGAACAGCTTTGTGTCGGTTGCAATAAATCGTAACTATATGCATGTGGGCCACAATGAATCGTAGCTAAATATATGTGTTTCATTCTTGAAAGTTTGAAAAATATTATTTTATAAGTTATAAACGTACGCTTAGCTGGAATTGATGTAACGAAATAAAGCAGTCGAAATACCTTCAACACTAGCTTCCAATGAAAATCCAGTTCACGAGCTCCAATAGGCTTACGACATAAGGACCAATGGTTCGTTGTTCTTGCAATGCTGTGACGGAAGAGCGAGATTTTCTCCGCCTTTCTTTTCTTAAAACTGAAACGTAAATGATTTATACTGCTCATATATAGTACTGATAATACCCATAATGTATACATAGTTAATAAAATATTAAATGGTTGTTGAAAATTTAAATTAAAAATAAATTATAATTTATTAATGATAATGGGCAATATTCTAAAAATCTTCTTCTAAAAAAAAGAAAGTAAATTTTGTGTGATTGCGGGAAGGGTCTGAAAGTGAGATGTGTACGTAACCTCAAATTGTTTCAAATCAGGGTATGCAAAAAATACGCAGAATTATTTTTAGACAAGTTCTACTATCTAAAAATTTCAGAAATCAATTTCAGAAATGCGAAATAACGATAAAAAGTATAAATGTTTATCAAATGTCTTATATTCAGTTACAAAATAGTGATAAACTTTTTCCAGTAATCCACATATGTACAACAAATTCTCAACTCTGAGGGACACGTCATTATAGACATACACTTTTATTTTATTTTACGTGTTATTCATTTAATTTGTGTTAAAAGAAGAACCTCGACAGTAATCTCATTTTATTTGCAAGATGTATGGACGCAACTTCAGTAATATGTTATGCAAATTAATTTTCTTCAAGGCTGTTTTAAATTAGGTCATTCCCATGCAAATGCTCCGGGTTTTCTGCTCGTCAAAGAGACCTTGTATGATCCGAGATAGCCTTGACACATTTATTTGCATTAAAGAAAAGGGTAATATTTCCGCAAATTGAATGGAAGTGGCTTTGAGTTCCTTGTAATGATAATGAGCATATTGATCAGAGTTGGTGACAGAATATTGTTCCAGTGTGAAAGTATAAAATTAGATATTGTTGCAAATGCAGCATGAAATAATGTAACGAAACTAATGCAATTGTTTATACGAAATTTATACGTAATGAAAAATAAATGAACACATTATTTTTTATACATTATAAAAATTATCTATAAATAAACCGGCAGAAGTATCTAGTAATAAGTATTTTTATGCACAAGTTATCGCAGAACTCAAGAAAAACTATACATTCCAGTTAAATTTTAGCTATGGATCTAATTAAAATAATCATTAATTTGAAAAAAAAATATAAGTTACTGTATCAGCCCGGGTATTCATATGTAATGATGTAACTTCTTGGACGCCCTAATTGGTATAGTGGTTAGATATGCCGATCAATGTAACTGTTTATGTTAATTAGGTTGTTACATCGTAGGACGCAGGCTCGAATCTCGGATAAAGCTTGGATGCTTGTAAGTGTATAGTACCTTTGAAAGATGGGGGAGTATAAGTGTATAGTACCTTTGAAAGATTTAAAATACGCCACGCAGCCAAAATCTTTTCCAGAGGTTTGGTAATGCAGGAAAAGGGGTTAGAGACCTTTGGATCCGTCCCGCTGGAAATTCTTCAAAATTTAGATACTGCTGTCAAGTGCGAGCTGACATCTATAAGTCCCATGTCGCAGCAGATGTAGTCCGTGCTCTTCGCCAAGATAAAACTCGTGGACTTCTTCTGATGTTACTATCAGAAGAGTGATGTTACTGTCAAGTAACATAAGTCACAATAGATGGCCCTTAAAACTTGTTTGGAGGGGAAGTGCTTAAGTATTAGAATGTTTTCACACAAGTGAATTTGTTACGTTCAAGGTGTTGCATAAGCAATTCTTAATAGATATTGAGGAATTACGTTGAGGTAAATCTACATAAATATATTTTCCTTAAGTCTAAAATTTAAAAAGAATAAATGTTGAAAAAAATAGAGTTATAAAAGCTAAAAAATTTTTATCAATAAAAATTATAAATAATTAAAAAGCTGTTATTTATAGTTATTATAAATAATTTATAATAAGTTATTAATATAACTATTAAATTAATAATAGTAAATTATTGTGCCTTACTATAGTTATTGTAAATGATATTTACAATTTATATATAAGTTAACAGCTGTAAAAAGATAGTTGTATGCTACAAATAGCATACTTTGGAAACTGAGTATGTGTGTCTTTTTAAACATAACGTTAAACAACAAATGAAAAATTACTTTAATATACATTATGCACGATAGGCTTCAAAGTGAACTTCAGTATAAAAAAACAGGTCAAGCATTTTTTCAATGTACACTCCACATCAAATTATTATATAGAAACATATGCTCACTGATTAAAGTTTTTGATTATATGTCCATCTGTGTAACTGTTTAGGTGAATTATCCGCAAATGAACGCAAAATTGGACTTCACATAGGATAGTTTCTGCTAATGAGGCGATCGACAACCTATTGCACAAAAAACATTATTTAAGAAAAGAGCAAAAATGACGGTTAATGGTAGTCTCGAGGAAAGGAAACAAAAATCGAATTCGCTTTAAGTCTTAAAAGAGTCAGACTGGAAGAAAAACACACCCATGAAACATTTTTGGCAAAATTTCGTTTTCTCCTAAACAAGAGGGACATATATGTACTCGCCAACCAAATCCATAACGCTTTATTCGAAATATACTTCGAACTAAAGTTGTTTTTTATCATAAATTTTAATCATTCACATTGTCATATCAAGAGCTTGGAGCTAATTTTTAAGAAGGGAAACAGTTAGTAGACATCCTGTTCGAGGACGACCACCAGCAATAACTGTAAAGTCCGTTTTCTCTCATTGTGAGCTCGAAGAAATCGTGAACCAATTACAAAAGAGATGGTTTTAAAACTTTAGACTGCCACCAAATTTTGAATCAGCCATTTTTTGGCTACATGAAGGTTTCATGAGTTTGAACATATTACAAGAAAAACAGTTTGTATGTTATTCACTTCATCTTCTAAGGGATTCCATTTGAGATGATGTTACCACCATGTTTAATGGAGTCGAGAAGAACAGAATAGTGTAGTGTTACTAACGAATCCAAATATGTCCTGAACTGTGATTCTAGAGAATGAGCGATGAACACACAATCTCATTATTACTAAAGAGATGGTATCATCACAAATGGACGCATTCATAGTCACATACTCATATATATGGATGAGGTTTAAATACAAATGAGGTCTTGAAACCCCTGGCAAGCTGTTTAGGAGTGCTGTTGTCTTATAGTGTTGGCTAAGGAAAGGTAACTCTCTTCCTTATCGGACATCTTTGGAATTAGGATACTTGGAAACAGAAGATATTACTCGTATGTATTAGCCAACTTATTTATCAGACTTAAACTTGATTGGGTATGTGGAAAATGCCTTAAGTAAACCATAGCGTGCTATATGTTTCTCCAGAACTTCAAAGTTTCTGAAAGAATGATACGTTGAGAAGAATCAGTAGCAGTTTCTAAAGACTTGATCATTATCAAATGACGATCAATATAAAATCAATGATCAATATAAAATTTGACTTTTTATCAGAAGTGACCATACACTAAGTTAAGAAAAAACGTGTTTCAAAACAAAGAAAATAATTTCTCATTAGTTTAAAATTTGCATAAATTTGGCTTTGAAATTTAATATTTTGAGATTAATCAACTAGATCGTAATTTATGTTAAATAATGATTTTGTACGAATTTTCTAATAAATTTTAGTGCGTAACTCTTAAAATTTATTTATGTCAATACCATTGAATTTTTCCATATAGAACTTCTGAACAAACTTAAAATGTGGCCATTCAGTACATCATATTGAATAATTGCCAACTTAATGTTATCCTTTGGTATCTTAGTTAATGGAAGCCAGTAAAATTTATAAGAAATTTTAAAGCAAGTAATAAATAATATTTTAATAAGAAGAATAACTTCACGAAGGGATTTACTGATATTATACTGTAGTAGTAACCGGGGAGTAAATTATTCCAATTGACGATATGAATCAAATTATTAAGACGATTTAAATTCAATGCTATATAGCCTCTTAATGCTCTATAGCATAAAGAGGCTCATTATATAATTTATATGCTTTTTAAAACTCTACGTCAGGAAGAGGTCAAGTTGACATCTGATAAATTTCACGTATTTGAATCACCCAAAACCTCGAAGCCTCAAATAATTTCACTTTTCAAGATAAATTTCCGTGGTTTAGCTTAAACCTGCATCATATATATCTTCAAAAGAGCTGATGCTAGGATCTAATGTGCAGACTTCCCAACCAAAATAATATTTGTGGTGAATTTCGCCATTCTATCAATAAAGAACTGAAAGTTTTTAGGCACTTCTATTTCTATCAAAATAGACTTCGAAATAGAAGAGCCAAGTTAAAGTCTGCGTAGATAGAAAGATCTCTTCCATAAGTATCTGTTCGAATAGTTATGAATATAAAGCATAGTTTCCTCTTTCCAGAATGATGTACTCAGACGAATTGTAGTCATTTTTATTTTCATTGTGCATCACGCTAGAGACGAAGAACTTCTACTTAGAATTTTATGTAGAGTTATAAATTCATAAATGCTAATCAAATCAGTATGAAATGCATATCCTGCGAGAAAGAGCTCTTAGAGAACAAAGGAGTATTGGTTATTTTTAGCCGATGCTGAGTATTATTTGTACTAATTCTTTATAAACCAAGGAGTATAGGCTATGCTTAGAGAAACAGCCAATAGTCTTTAGATTCAAGTTATTTGACCATTACACACGGATCTAAAAATCGGAACCTTAAACGTTCGTTTCCAAAGCAGTTTACAGTTATAATTACAGTATTAAACATAATCAAAAGCAATAAAATTTGAATTCAAAATCATGAACTGCGATCACAAGGAAAACTCATCTGCTTAGCTGATACTCTTCGTTTGTAGCATTTAGTAGAATCTTATGTTGCCACTTTGCCACCTTTCCCGCAAAGAAAAGTTTAAATGTTCTTTCCGGACATCCCACTGCTCACTGCCAATTATTACATCCGATTCTTGCCACCTGCAAAGGAACAGAGGGGCTATTTACCTAAACTACAAAATACCATATCCTCCTAATTTGAAAGCAATAATACTGTTCCTTTTACTTTTTAATGTGATTGTTTTATATAAAAATGTATTTAATTCACAATAAATTTAATTAACACTTTTTTACGTTTTATAGCTGCACATATTAATGCTATAATGCACGTAACTGACACAGAATCCTTTTTAATAGCCTTTTACATTTTTTTAAAAAAATGTCCTTCTTCAAGATGTTGTATTATGATTTGAAGTCTTTAAATACAAACGTCTTTGCCCAGCTGGACTTGTATTAGTAATGTATTAGGGAAATTCTTCAGTATTCATTATGTTTAGTCCATCTAGTTTATCCTATATCTTGTCGTAATATTGCTTTAAGCTCTTTTAAGGATTTTTTCCTTATTTGTTTGAGGAAGATTCGCCACCCTTAATTGCATAGGTAGAAAGAAAAAGAAAATTTTATGACAGAAATAACATATATGATTATTGCTAGAGAACAGCACTATGTCCTCTATCATCAAATTCTTCAAAAAACAAAAATAATAAAAAGATAATAAAAAACAAAATCTGAAATGTTTCAGATTTTAAATTACGTCCAAAGGGGCGTTTTTTAACATTTTGTGTGTTACCTTTCTTTATTAAATATCATGTTCTTCGCACTTAAACCATAAGATCCAGTGCAACAGCAATATCGCAAAATAGTTTTAAAACGAGCATATCTTTAGAATTTCCGATACAGAGACTCACGCGCTGGAGATATAAATGTTTTTTCTGCACAACGTTGCCATTGCTCGCTTTTAAATAGTTGAGTTTGTTACTCAAAATTCGTTAAGTTTTACAAAATATGAAATCGATCATAAAACAAATTCCAAATTTCAAATTTGGGATTCCAGATGCCCATATTCGTAGTAGGATTACGTCATTCAAAATTCGATTGTTCTATGTACCGTTGTTTTATCACAATACGAGAAATATACATACATTTATGCAGATTTTCATTATTTAATTTCTTCAAATATAATGCAGGACTCTAACATTTTGTGGCAACAGTTTGAAAAGTGAACCGACATTTATGAGTCCGACGCAAAATGCCAAAACGAAAGCAATAGTCCTTCGGGACTCAAGTCCCTTTGGACTAATAAAATGGAACCGATATTTTAAATAAGATTAGTAGGGCCAATATATATAGAAAAATAGAACAGCATACAAAAATAATATAAATACGGTTGAATAGGCCTGAGGAGAAGACATAGTTGATCAAGATTTCATATTACATGTTCATCTGTAAAACCATAAGATGCTTTTGTGCACTGAAACATATAATGCTTTTCTTCAACCCACGCATTTTCGGAATATATTTAATAGCAAATGGCGTATTAAGGAAATTCTATAATGAGCTGTCTTATTCACTTTAGTTCACTGTATAATTTCTATTGCATCTGAAGTCTAGCATCGCTGGAATGGAAAATTTCATGAAATTAGTGCCATCCAAAAATCAATACTTTTCGTTTATTCTTAAAATCATTAAATATTTTAAAGAAATTATATTACTTGGATAAATAGAAATTATACTAAATGGGCACTAAAACATTATGTAATTTTGTTCTTTTATAAGAAGAGTTTTGTTTTCTGGATATAGGCGTTATTGTTCTTCAGCCACAAAATAAATTTCTATTTTCCAAACCTTTCAGTAGAAAAACAAATCTTGCTTTTCCAAAGCCAACATGTTTAGCGGATCTTACATAATGTAATTTCAGCAAGTTTTCTCGGTAATCATACGTACTTATGGATCCAGCTATAAAAAGATAAAAAATCGCATCGCTACGAGCTCTGAAGTGAAGAATATATCAAAGAACAGATTTCAGAATTTTTAGAAGAGTTTGACAAGCACCGGGTTGTAGAGTTACTACTAATGATTACTACGATAGTTAATGGTTACTTAAGAAAAGTTCCTATGCTTTGTAAAGATTGTAAGGTTACTACTGAGCTAAAGTTAAATAATTTTATTTTGAAATTGTATGTATCTTTGAATAGGTACAGAAATTTTAAATAAGTTTACTTATTGAAGCAGAAATAGGCACTTATTATTGCTTTACACTTGAGACATTGTAATGCTTCACACTTCGCCTCTTAACAGGTTGACAGTTGACTGCCACAGCAAAATCGAGTAAAATGCTCTATTGGGCTATTTCTAATTCTAGTGGTTTGTTGTCCCATTTATCCTAAAATCCTTATTTTAGTACCTAGTTTTCCTTTGCACTCATAATGATTACTTAAAAATACTGCAGAAAAATATATACAAAATGATAAAGTAATTTATGGGAAAAAGTTTTCTTGTCCAGAAACAAGAAACTAAGAATACGGAGCAACTTTCTGACGGCATCGAAATAATTTTAACCATCTGTGTGTTTATGAGGCACCAGTAACTCACTCGACTTCAAACAATATACAACCTTTGAATCACATTAGACGCACATGTCTCCAAAAAATAAGGCAGCTTCAATCATCGGTGATGTATA